GTCTTCTCCTCAGGGGCTAGGCACCAATATCCCTTCAGCGCGCCTCTATGGCCTTCGCCAGTTCTCCCCATGGAGGCTGGGCGCCCATATCCACTCTACGTGCCTCCACATGGAGGCTGGGCGCCTAAATCCTACTTGGTTACCCTACGCAGTACAACAAACAGAGGGGAAAACAACAAACAGGAATTACAAAGCAAATACAAGCTTTCATTAAGCTAAAAACACAAGCCCCTGGCTTTTACAAATATTACGTGAAATGTGTGTGAACAGCCCCTTCATAGCTTCACAGAAGTCCCAAAGGGGCTCAGGGGCTCCTGTCGGGTTCATAAACCCGGGGTCCCTAATGGACCCGCTTCCCTACAAAACCCAGCCCAGTAGGCAGCGCAGCGACAACACGTACCTGGGACGGCCTAGATACATAATGATAGGCCGAGACAATGATCCAGTCCCCGACCAAATCGCCTAGCCAAGGTGGGACCGCAGTCCGACTCTGACCCCCTTCTTCGACCGAGGATACGCCGGACCTCTGCTCATTGCTCTTTCCCGACCGACACGGTTGGGACCGACTAGGAAGAACTGACCGTGGACGCCTGCTCAATGTGGGCCTGGGGAGAAGGCGGAGCTGATAAGGTATGGCGCTCAAGTCAACCACAATACTGAGGACTGTACCCTGCCATGCCCTGCGCACCCGCAGGACGATACCATCGGGGCATGTCAGGCGAACACGATAGAGCCTGCCAGACGCGTCAGAGTATAAACAGTATTGTGGGCGTCGTCGTTCGCCATACTAGGCGAACATGGTAGAGCCTGCCAGATGTGTCTGAACATAAACAGTATTGTGGGCGCCGACGGCCATCCCATACCCGATGGTGTGGGCAAAAAGACTACGCAGCACACATATACACTCTTTCTCTTTCTCTGACTTGTAAGGCCAACCCCTTCAAATATAAAAGGGGATGAGCTCTCACCTAAAAGCTCTCTCCCCGAAGACTAGTCGACTCGATAGCTCAATAGCTCTAGAGCTCGACAGCTACACAGTCTACACGCTCTCAACAGCTGATAAGCTCGGACACATAGAGCATATGCTCTGATACTTAGCCCACGTTTGAGCATCCGTCACTCTCGGCCACTCGGTTCAGAGTCCAACCGGGCCTCTAACACCCCCTTCTTATTCTTCAATCGTTTGTAACCCCACAGCAAACTTCGAGCACCTGGGCTCAGGAATAAAGTCACCGACCGACTGAAACTGGATGTAGGGCACGTTGCCTAAACCAGTATAAATCCTATATCATTGCGTGCTAAGCCACATCCGATCACAACGCACGGCAAACTACAAATATTTACTTGTTGGTCACATTTTGCACCGACACACGTTTTCTATCCTACGCGGTCTAGCATTGACAAGCAAGGAAACACGAACAAGGAAAAATAACAAGCAAGGCAAGTAAAACAAGCATAAGCAATCAATGATCCTAGGTGGGTTGGTCCTATTGGGTGATGGGTTATTACTTAGGCTATCATTATTATGTCAATTTGAAGTAAGGTTTGGATAGAGGTATTCCATCCAGAACGCAGGGTTCTACGGGTTAGGTTGAGGCGGGTGGTTAGTTTGATGGAAAACTAGACCACATTATTAGGGTTCACTATTATGTGAACCTAAAAGAGGAAGGTGACTTGGTCAGGCTTTCTACAGGTCCATCGGGTTAGCGACACATATGCACATGCATATGTATGTGCCTAGGGCTAATTAGGTGGGCTAGGTTATGGCTAGGATTAGCGGCATATACGTTCACACCTATGTATATAACTATGACTAACTAATATTGATTAACTAGATTGCTAGGGTTAACCATACATAGGCGTATACCCAGGTATCGGGTGTAACCATGTATGTATAGGCATCTACTTATTTTAGGTGATTGAGTACGGATGTATTTGAGTATGTGCTAGGGTGCGTGCACATTCGTTAATATACGGGGTTTACTACTACTACGGCGATGGGCCACTACTATAGTTAATATTAAAATATAATTATAGCCGGGAAAGCAATCAAACTAGAATTTAATGGGCACCAAGTTTAGGGTTAAGGGTATGATTATGTAGGGTTTTATTTTACATGATTTATGGTGAAAGAATTACGCAATTTGGAGTTAAGACGGGCGAGATATAATTTATTAAAGTCTACCAACTAATCACGAATGGAAATGAGCATGGAAATTATTTCTACAATTTTAGCTAATGAACATGAGTGGTAAACTATCTAGGTATGATCTAGGGTGACTCTAGTTTATTTATAAATTTTTGGGGAATTGTTCTGTAATTAATAGGCTTACCTTTTAATATTATGTGTACGATTCCCTGTGTACCCATAGCAATTTTCTCCCTGAGGCTGACGTGTGGTCCCCAGTCAGGGGTCAGGGCTGGCCTGCTGCTTCCGTGAGCCGATCTGGTGGACTGGCTTCCTCTCCTCTCTATTCTTCCTGGACCGCGTCCACAGAGAAAAGGAGGAGGGAGTGGAGTCCATGACCAGTGGGCCCCGCAGCCAGTCATGGCCAGGCTTATCCCATTCACCGGCTCCCCATCGGAACAGAATAGAGAGAGGGAAAGAGAAAGGGAGAAGGAGGGAGGACGGGCCGGGCATAGGGCGTCGGTGGTCGCGCAACGAGGTGGCCCCAGCGTGGAGAAGAAGAGCAGAGAAGGGGAAGAGAAGAGCAGGGGAGGAGGAGACGCAGGGGAGGAGCAGAGTTGGTGCTCGACAGCGGCCAGGACCGGCTCGGTCCTTGCTAGAGCGGGAGCGCGCTCGGCGAGCGGCGATGTGAGGAAAAGAGTAGAGCGGGGGAGGCAGAGGAGGAAGAGAGAAGAGAGGGAGAGAGGAAGAGGAGTAGGGCGGATGGAGAAGGATAGGAGGGGATGGGAAAGGCTGACCGGAGGGGGAAGGGCTGTGCGACAGCGGCGACCCTGACTGGTTCGGTGCGGCGAGCTTGGCGGTGCTCCGCGATGGCCATGGCGGGGCTATTTATAGCCGGTCGCAAGGCGGTTCGCAGATTTTTGCTGGCAATGGTGGCAGGTCACAGTGAGGTCGGCAACTACGGTGACCCGTCGCACAGGAAGTCAATGGCGAGCCATAGACAGTGTTCTTCATGTGTTCGCGGTGGACGCGGAGGCGTCGTGGAGGGAACACGGCATCAACGGTGGGGAGGCGGTTGGTTGGCGGCTGCAGCGACATGCGCACAGCGCGTCAGCGGCGGCGATGATGTGTGCACAGTGCGTCGTTGACTCTGGTGAAGAAGAAGAAGACACGCGGGCCCTCCATGTCGGTGAGAGAAAGGAAGGGGGGAGGAGAAGGGAAGTGTGGGCTGCGCTGTGCACTGGGCCGAAGGTTGTGCTGGGTCAGGTGGCTCGTTGGGCTAGCCCATCGCGGGAAGGAGAGAGGGAAGAGGAGAAGGAAGGTGGGCTGGGCTGTGGTCGCGGGCCAGGAAGAGAAGGGAAACGGGAAAAGGGAAGGCGAGGCGGGCTGGGCCGGCGTGGTCCAGGCGTGGAGGGGGAAAGAGGATGAGGGGGAGAGGGGAGAGGCGGGTTGGGCCAGGGCTGGTGCTGGGCTGGGCCCATTCGGGGAAGTGTACACAGATCCATTTTCTATTTGCTAATTCCCAGAAAATGGAACTATTGATGTATTGCTAAGTGAAGAGTGTGGTCCTAATACTATAGACATACGACATAAATTGAAAGCAATGATCTGATACTTCTAGGTTTCTATAAGTTAGCTAAATGAGAATTGGGGAGGAATATTGGGAAAAGTGGAATCTATAATTTTGTTAATGCGGTGGCTATTAAATTCCTAGTGGATGAAATATTACTTATACTACGATGCATTATCTACCTTTATATTATAATTTAGGAATGCAATTAATAATGAAGGGAAGTTATTTTTGGTGCCACAATTAAATTCCGGAAAAGCAATCAAGCATTTCAAGCAAGCATTCGTGAAAGCATCCAGAAAGGTGCACGCAAAGGAATTATAATACGGTATTCTATTCCTATTAGTCATTCTTAGCGCTATGGTGTTTTTCTTTTACAATAAATTAGCGAACAGTACTTTTTAACTTGTCTTTTCAGCGAAGCGTGCCATCACAAAATCGAATATCCCATACATAGCATTTTTTGGGTCAAATTTCTATATCCAACCGTTTACCGTAGTAAAAGAGAAGACAACGATCTACTTCTTTTTCTCGAATACGCAAAAGATTTACGTATCATTATATTAAGAGAAGAGTTTAAAGAAACATACAACGCGCTTCTATCGAACGCCGAAGAAGATCGACCTAACACAGCCGAAGCTGGACCATCCTAGCAAAAGACCTCATGTTTCGATATTACATAAAAGGAAACAACCAATATCGACGCAGCTTTGTGGCTTAGGTGGCCTTGCGTCTTCGCGGCTGCTTGGACGATGCCTTTCCAACGGCCGGGAAGAGCTCGTCCAGCGCCTCGGCTTCAGACGCAGTCACGTAGCCGTCGAAGAGCCTGTCAAAGGCCTCCAACTCTGAAGCGGATGGTGTAGATGGACCCTGGTGTATCTCATACGCTGCGTGATCAACATCTCACGATCTACTTCATTTGTTCTGAAGTGCAGGCTGTTTTTGTTCACATTTATGTAACTTTGCGCAAAATAAACTTAGTTCCACTAAATTCAGCATAAAAATATATTTTTCTATTAACATGGTCAAAGTTTGAGAAGTTTAACATATGAGAAACATAGACCAGGTATTTTAACGACGCAGCAGTCGGTGCTCATCGAACAGCACAATTTCAACAACAAAAGGATTCATCAAAGCCACACCGTTTGGAATTCAACCTACTGAACGGGCATTTGGTTCAAAACAGATCATCACCATGTCAAGGCGGATCCAAAAGACGAGCTAATCCTGGCAGGGAGCCTGCTAGCTACTGCAGAAATTTACAGAAGTTCCGCTGCAAAATAGTTCGTGCAAACGGCTCAGCTACTGAAACCCGCCGGGAAGCACGAACAGCTGAACCGCGTCGACGTCAGGGCGGAGCCGCAGCGCGACGCGCTTCATGTCCTCCATGCCCCGCTCGTACCCCTTGAGCGCCTCCTCCACCAGCCGCCGCTCGTGCTCCTCTGAGCCCAAGAACTCCTGAACCGCCGCCGCCTTGGCGCTCTTCATCTCGGCCGCCGTCGCCTTCTTCGCCTCGGCGAGCTCGGCCTTGGCCTTCTCCAGCTCCTCTTGGAGCTTCAGCGCGTGCCCCAACGAGAACGTCGCGTAGTTCGCCGCCTGCATTGCGCGCCGACGCCACGAGCGACATTAGTACGTGCACGCCGCGATGCGCCGCCATATACGCTAAGGATCGTGATCCGACCTGGAGCGTCGCGACGTAGCTTGTCGCGATGACGGTGAAGGGATCCGCCACCAAGAACGCGCGCTCCCGCGCCGGCGTGATGACGCCCTGCAGAAGCTGCCGCGCCGCCTCCCACTCGACCGTGTCGCCGTCATGTCTGTCCGGGGCGTGCTCCAGCTTCCGTTTTTGGCGCGTACAGAAGCCGGGCGCGACAGACGCCGAACCGTGACCAGTGGCCTCCTTTGTGTCGTCCTCCGCCGGCCTCTTCTTCCCGGACAACGGCGTCCAGCCCGGCGGAGCGCTGCAGCCGGGCTCACTCATCGCGGCGACCTTCGCTGCTGCCGCCGCTTCGGCGGCGGCCTTCTCTGCCCGCATGTTCTGCAGCATGGCATACCTTGATGGATCCATCCCTAGCTCACAGGGACACAGCAGTGAGTCATTTGCTCCACCGGCACTCAAGCTCAAAGCTAAGGATGGTGTACGACATTTTACCTTTGGCGCCAGTAGCACGATAGGAAGGCGATGGTGTAGGTGGTTTTGGTGCACGAGGGGTCATCCTTGCCGCGGCCAAATCGCCCTCGCTGAGGTAAATCAGGACATCAATTGGCGCGGCGCCACGCACACTCAGCAGCTTCGCCACCGCGCTCTTCTCCTCATTGGTGAGCACCGGATCAGCAGTGGATTTCTTGGTCGGCTCGCCCCAGAGCACGGGGCACGGCCACTGCGACGACGACTTGAGGAAGAAAAAGCCCTCTTTCCATCTCTTGATTTTATCCGGCAGCCCCGTGAAGAGCACGCCGGCCGCGTCCTTCGGCGAGAAGCAGTACAGGCCCTTAACCTTCAGCACGCGCAGCGCGAAGAAGTGCAGGAACACGGGGACCGACGGCAGCTGCACGCCGGCGGCGCGGGAGAGCGCGAGGAAGGCCGCCAAGATGCGCCAGCAGTTGGGCGACAGCTGGCTCGGGGCCACGCCGAAGTGCGAGAGCACCTCGCAGAAGAAGGGGTCGAGCGGGACGCGCATCCCGGCCTCCAGCGCGTCCGCGTACAAGCAGATGGAGCCTGCGGGTGGAGGCGAGCACGCGCGTCGGTCGCCGGCGGGGATCGGGGTGAACGCCTTCGTGTTGACGCCGAACTTCTCGCAGAGGGCGTGGACCGACTTCTGGCTCCGGAGGTACGAGGCGACGCGCTCCGTCGCGGGCCATGAGCGCGCGTTTCCACCACCGCCGCCGTCATCGTCGCGGTCGCTGGAGTCGGCGGTGGTGTCCTGGGCGCTAGCGGGTTTGGGATCAATGGTTTGGACGGAGGACAAGGAATGGGAGGCGGAGGAGGAAGGCATGCCGCAGTTGCAAGGGTGGCCGGGCTCGGTGTTGGACTGTTGGTGGGGAGGGAAGCGCGGCGGTCGGCGAGGCGCTTCTCGAGCAGCACACCCATAATTCATCTCCGATATAATAATATTAATTACCACCTATACTACTTTTTATTATGAGGGTACCCTTATTATGAAGGCCTTGTTTAGGTTTTTCCAAACTTCCAACTTTAGCATGTAAAAAGAAAATTTTTCGTCACATTAAACTTACGGTACATGTATGGAATACTAAAAGTAGACGAAATTAAAAACTAATTACACAGTTTGGTTGTACTTTGCGAGACGAATATTTTGAGCCTAATTAGTCAACGGTTGGACAATTATTACCAAATACAAATGAAATGTTACAGTGGCGCTACAATACATTTTGCCAACTTTGCACATTCAAATTTTGGCAACTAAACAAGGCCTAAGAAAGATGCTCCAACTAACCATCAATAATTTATGTCACTCTATTCGAGAAAAAAAAAGTAAAAAAGTCAGAATCAAACTCCGGTTCTTTAGGACATGTACAACTTACAGACGAGAGTTCATCTCTAAGCGCCTCTAATCTATCGTACAGATAGGTATAAATACAGATCATACAACCCATAGACAAGGGTTCGTCTCTAAACTGTTTAATGCATTGCATTTAGCTAGAATCAACTATAAATATTTTTTTATATACCACTGTATGGCTATTTAATAAAAAACGTATCAAGAATAAATAAGAGCAACATGATTATAAATAAGAGCAACATGATTATCAAGGAAAACGTTGGTCTCTCTCTCAGGCATAGCATCAAACCGGTCTCTTGCTTCATCAACCTGGCCTCCGAACACTCCTCACTTGCATGCCGTCAAACAACTTCCAAGCTGAGTTACATATCAACCAACGTGTTCTCCACCCCGAGGTCTCTGAGCACGCTCGCCACCCCCGGCCGCGTGCGCAGCGACCAGCGAGCTCGCCACATGGCCGTTGTGGCCCATCCCGAGCTTGACCTTGGGGGAGAGTTGTGGGAGAGGAGCCGCCGCCGAACCACAACCGCGACGAAGGGTCTCGGCTGCCGCCGTCACCGTCGAGGCGCCCTTGCTCTTTGTAGATCCGGTTACTTCCTTGCTTTTCCTGACCAAGGCGCTCGACATGTTGGGCTACGAAGAGAGCGGAGTCCCTCACACACGCGACCAAACCAGACCCCCCCCACGCGCACGGGATCCACGCGCCGTCGACTCGGCCGTACATCGCTGCTGGAGCTGTCTTCTATGCATCGGAGAACGGGACATTCCCGTCGTCTCGTGAGGCGACGCCGGTGCCGTCTCCAGGCTCGCACAAGGTGTTTTTCGTAAAAGATGCAACGAAGAGACGGGGCTAAGGGACCCGTTGTACATGCCCTTATGAACCTAAGTTTGTGAAGCGGTCCCAAATACCACTTAGTGTCTCAGTACCCTCTTCCACTATAGGTTCCTTTCACAGCATTTTTGTTGAGATTTGTTTATCCATCTTATTAAAAGTACTATCAAACAAAGGAAAAAGTTCGTTTTTGGCCCTCCAACTATGACAGTAGTTTGGTTTTAGCCCTCCAACTCCAAAACCAGACAACCGCAGTCTATCAACTCTGTAAACCAGATAGAAATGGCCCTCGCGCCGGCGCGACGGCGGTTTCTGCCCGGTCAACCCGCGACGACCGCGGTATTGGGCCTTCTTCCTTTTCTCGTGGCCCACTTACTCGGGCGCTCTCCTCTCACTCTTCCGTTCGTTCCCCAACCCCGACCCCAAACCCTAACTCCCGACGGCGGCGGCGGCGACGGCGATGGCAACGGCGGAGGGTGCTGGTGCGGGTGTGGATCGATAGCTCCTAACATTCCTCGCGTGGGGACCCATTCTAGTCGCCGACCTACTGCTGTGGAGGCGGACGAACGCCTCGGCGGCTGGCGTTGTGGGTGCCACCGCGGTCTGGTTCATCTTTGAGCGCGAGGGCTACATCTTCCCCTCCTATCCAACGCCTTTCTCCTCGTCGCCATCGTCTTCTTCTGGGCCAAGTGTGCGTCGCTGCTCAACAGGTATGGTCATCGTTCTTAGGAATTCCTCGTTCATATTCTGCTTCGGCAACTCGTAGCACTAAGTCATTGTGTATGATATGTTAACTTGATAGGAATTGGTTTGGTCTGCATTTTGCAACCCCTCTAATTGATATTTAGATTTTTTGAAATGGCAAACAACATTGAGGAAGGAGATGTAGCAGAGATATATGTTGAAGGACATACAGTTGATGATGAAGAGGAAGAGGATGATGAGGACAGCAACTATGAAGATGAGATTGAAGGTGAGCAAGAAGAACATGATGACAGTGAGTTTGAAGGTGGATATGAGGAACTGACAAATCCAAGTGAAGATGTCTTGGTTGCTCATAATAAGCATGAAAGTAGGGAAGATGTAGAGAAACAGATCAAATTTGTAAGGGAGTGGTACAGCCCTAGCAAGATGGATAAGGGGAAGCAGGTGGTTGATGACCAAGGGAGTCAGCCAGTTTCAAGTGTTTTCAATGACAAAGAGATTTTAGAGGACAATAGTGACAGTGAGTTTTCAGGGGTATGCCATGCTATTAGCAATGGAGCTGACAGATTTGAAGTCAATCATTGGGACAACAGGTTCACAGTTGACCTACAGGCTAGAGAGTGCTCTTGTAGGTATTGGCAGTTGTCTGGGTTGCCATGCTGCCATGCTATTTCATGCATCTTTTACAACACAAATGTGCTAGATGATTACATTGCATCTTGTTATCATATTAATGAGTTCAACAAGAGTTACTCTCACTGCCTAAACCCATTGGAGGGTATGCAGAGTTGGCCAAAGTCTCATCTCCCACCCTTGAAGGCACCTGGATATGTGAGAATGCCAGGCAGACCTAAGAAAGAAAGGAAGAGGGAGCCACAAGGACAACCAAAGGCAAAGAGACTTCCTAAGGTAGGGACAGTCATCAGATGCAGGAAATGTAAGGGAATAGGCCACAATAGGTCCACTTGTGACAAGAGACATAGGGTTCCATCTAGCAGTGAAACTCTAGGAGGCACAGGTCATGCTGCTCCACAACCAAGTAATGTATCAGCTGCTCCTTCTACACATGGTAGCTTTGTACCCACTGCTACCTCTAATGAAAGCAGTAGAGGAAGAGGGAAAAGAAGACCATCTCAGCGAAGCCAAGTAACTGTATGTGCTACTGCTTATATTTTGCCTCACCTTGCTTATATTAAGCCTCCAATTGCTTATATTTTAACTCACATGCAGAAAAATATCAAGTGCACTGCAACAGCTAGAGTGCAAACACCTAGGCAAGCTACCATGCATCTACAAGCCAATGTTCCATTGTCACAGGCAAGTTCTTCTGTCAACTTGAGTTTTAATGGTGGAAAAGCATGTGTTACAGTCACTGCCGAGGAACCTCCAAGGAAGAAGCAAGTAGTGAAGAAGCGCACACAACCAAGCCAACTGCTGCTTCTCAAAGACCACGCTGATCCCTAAGATCATGTATTGCCATATTGTGATGTTACCTTGTAGTGTAATGCTAGACTTTTAAGGCATTTGTAATGTAATGTTCAGTCGTTTCTATCACTCCTTGGTTGAACTTGTAATGTAATGCCAGGCCATAAGTGCTCGAAGTTGTGCTGGTGTGCAAATTATAATGCCAGACTTTAATGTCTTGTAATGTAATGCTACACTTTTAAGTTGTCGAAGCTGTGCAAATACATGGTTATTAAGTCCTAAGTCCTGACAGCTTTTCAAGTTTAGAGCCCGGTTCCTGTCCTGATAGGCCACAACGTTGGCTCCATTTTGCTGGTAGTAGCTATTGAATGCATACGAAGCATAGGAAGCTAAAGTGTCCGGCTGGTAGCAAGGTTGGCTTGGTTGAATGGCAGAGCAATCTACGATGCCTGGACCACATGCCCAGTTGAGGGCATTCTGCAGATTTGTTTCCGATGCATTAGTTGAAGCAATACACTAGGTTTCCTATCAGGAAAGAACAGTCCCCAGTTCCTCTCCGACTCAATGCCAGGTTTCCTATTCTCATTGAACAATGAAAATATGTAGACATCAATTTCTTCCCTAGGTCATGGGATAGTGGGTGCTGGCCTCCTGACTATAGCCTATAGGTAAAGAAGCTGTTATTGCCTATGGATCACAAAATCACAGAACCCAAGTAAAGACAAAATAGAAGAAAAGGGTATTTCTCCATCAGAGAGCAAGTCATCCTGGATGACATCCAATTTGAGTTCCTCAGTTCACATGAAAGAGCAATAGGATATGAAATCAAATTTGGTAGAAGCAAGAAAAGCAATAAGACTTCATGTCACTAGATACCTGAAAGCCTTATCTTCGAATTCATAATCGAGTCAAAGATAGCAAAATACATCTTCAATTCAATACATCTTCCATACTTGTTCACCACAAACTAACAAGCATCCAACTACTACCATTCACAACTAAAAAAGCAACAAACATCTACTTCCTAAAAAGTATAGCAAGCACTACAATCACACAGGCCGCTAATACAAACGTCAACAAACCTAGTTCCTTCTCTACCATCCTGCATTTCAACTGAACATCATCTGCATCTGTTCTAGCTGTTTGCACCGTTGGTGCCACAACATCTGTGCCTGCAAAACCCTGCTTCCACCATGGCTCTTTCTTGTTGCCTTGATGCTTCTGCATCAACTAATGTCAGATCCATGTGGTCATTTCCCTGTCTGTTAGCCGTCCTCATTGCTCGCACTTGGTCACAGAGCTCAATAAGAACGGGCACAAGGTGCTCCGGGGTTGGTGGATCAATCCAGCGATAAAATTGACATGGCCACATATTGCTCTGCAACCATGATTACAACCAAAACCAAGACAACTTCAATCATCAAATCCAACAAAGAACCAAGGACAAGAACCAAACCCTAAACAAGTCATCGATCAAACTCACCTGAGATCCGAAGCAATTGTAGAACCT